CCCCCGTGACCCCGACGTGATAAGGCGCCCGGCGGGGAACCCCCCGCGGCAACTAAAATTCCACTGCCGGTGCGCCGTGTACAGAACACGGAAAGATTGATCATTCATGCAAAAACAGCCATCAAGATGCACAGGTGAAGGACCTAATCGAAAGCGAGTATGATCAAGCATCGAACATGCATGCTAAAATTGGCTTGAGAATTCACTGGACCAGCACGAAAGGGATTTTTAAGAAGGCTAATGAGCATGTATAATATAAATTGAAATCAACTTCTTCTTCTTCTTCTCGATCGCATCACACTTGAAGTCCGGTATCTGTCATAAATTGGGCCGTCCTGGTCAGTTCATCTGGCGGCCCGTATAGCTTCTCTTGTAGCGTCAGTGGGGTTGGCCACGTTATTGAAATCAAGATCGCAGTCAATTTTTCTAAAACACACAAAAACAAGCCACTCCAAATACCGCTTCAGCTTAACAACTCACAGCCAATAGTCATAATCCCCGTTGCAGTGAGTCAGTAAGTGGTAGAGACTCAAACAGAGTATCACACAGACACTAGATCTGGACACTACTGCTGATTGTGTACTGGGATTCGGGTATTTTTCTATCAGTGGACTGAGGAAAACCAGCTCAAAATTTGTAACGGCCTTGCACAGGCCACGCAAACATGAGGAAAATTTTTTTTTTTATGTAGTATTCAGTTTGCAACATGACTTCCTCTTGAGTGACTAGCCTAGGTTATTTGGTTTCATCCGGGCCCAGAATAAAGTTTTTAAAATCTCAATTAAGCGGAATGCCCACTAAGGATGGGATCGGCCGATCGCCTGACTCGATCGCCCCAAAAACAAACAGGTTTGTTTTCAGTTTCAGGCGATCGGCTCGATCCAGCTGAAGAAGGCACCCCATATTGCAATAGGTATCGCAAACTGGCCTTGCGCCCCCTTGGCGTACTTTCATGGAGACCAAAATCCATATTTTTACCCTCCTAAAACACCGCGTGATCATGCATTTGATATATTAGAAGAAAGAGGAGCTTTTCCTCTTTTTAGTGGTATTATTTATTTGAATCTACGATGCTTTTGAAAGCAAAATCTTGTGGGATAAAAGACAACACTATAGAGGTTTTCACTGTCCCGGCCGCGCATTTTGTGTATTGATTTTTTGAGTGGCCTTGGTTGAACAGGAACGGGGAGCGTATGGTATTAAATGCTGCAATCTGATTCGTCAATATTTCAAGATGAGAAAACGCTCTTTCCTGTGATATATTTCTAAAGACTGTCCTTAAAGAATTAATAGAAGAGATTTGCGCATGAAAACTTTCGATGCTCTTCTTTTATGGAACCAGTGATCGGACTGACTCCAGAAATATATCGGCAGAAAGTCCATTCATTCCTCTTCATTCAGGAATAACACAGCCATTATACGCCGGACGCTCCCCATCAGCTCGCAAGCAGGGCCTCTTCACCCTAGTTTCGTATAAATTCATCCTCCTTCCCGTCAGCGCGGCCCAGCGCGCAGCCGATAGGCCGGTGGTCACGAGTGGTGATTTTAACCTCCCCTTGTATTTCTTGCCATTTTGGTCAAAAAGCCATGTTTACATCAATTAATTTCCATCTTCTGGTTATTTGATAGCCCTAAAAAAATTGGGCTTGTTCTCTATGTGCACGGGTGTATGTTTACAAGTTTTTGTGAATGTCCATTCAAATTTAAGAATGTTGTGACATCTCAAAGTGCACACATTTCGCAATCTAAAAAATATATTTCATTTTTCTGCAACTTCAGATGTTCATAACTTTGTTAAAAATGAAGCTACATGTATAAATTTGGTATCAAAATGCTCAGAATAATACATTCTATACGGTGGTGCAGTTAAATATGAAATCAGAGGACTTTGAAATTTCAGTATGTGGTACCTAATATTACAACTTTCTATTTCATTCAGAATTCTGTGGAATAGAAGAGGAAAAAATCAATCAATTTAAATTCTCTGATCATAATTGTTAACGCCTTTATGTTGATCAAACAAAATCAGGAGGGGTTTGATAAGAGTACACTGGCCATCAACCACTCACAACTGCCTCTACTCATGTACTGAGTTAGTCTGCACTGCCAGTCGTATTGTCGGGTGGCGTACGTGACTGCCAGTTAAATTGTTGGGAGTGCAGCAAGTGGAAGAAATGTGTTCCTTTCGCACATTTATCGATGAATAAAAAAGCAACAATTTTCCTACCCCTGATTGGATGAGATGCTCCGCTTTGGGGTCTCGATAGTATAATCGTGGTATTGGCTGCGTTGAAAAGGGGTATTTCTTGGTTACAAACTTCTCGCCAGAGTTCACAGTGTTCTCAGTCGCCATGTTGACTCTTTGCGTGGGCTTCTGGAAATAGAAACATACACAAAGGGAGATATCTTTATTTCGAATCATAATGCTTTCAAATTTTATTCTATTTGAACCATACATTCAAATCATATTATTATTAGTAAAAAAAAATCTTTACATATAGTTTACTTTTTAAATATATTGGATTTTAGAGGCAAAATCTTTTAAATCCCTTTCTGAGAAATCAGACGAATGATTACCCAAAAAGAAAAGTAATTATTATCTAAATACCGGTAAAGTACAAACGATTAGATAAATACAAGTGCCGTTGGGCTTAACAACAAACAAATTATAATATTATAATAATAATATTACAGGGGTACTATTTTATCGTTGAGGGAGAGCATGCATGTATAACATATTCAGAGAGTATTCGAGTGTTAGATTCTTTTAATTAATTTCTCTACCCCTCTCTACTTATATACATTGAACTTCAATCTCCCCTTCTCAATTTGTAACTTGTTCCTTTCACTTGCTGCCGTTTTATTTTCGATTTCAATTATTATGTCGCCTGGACATTACAATATTTATATTGTGACTTTCATTGTTGTTGTTGTTGTTGTTGTTGTTGTTGTTGTTGTTGTTCTTCTTCTTCTTCTTCTTCTTCTTCTTCTTCTTCTTCTTCTT